GTAAAGCTTGGTAAATAACTGATTTACCATACCCAGTAGGCAAACTAACGAATATGTCCTCTTTTTTCTTAACAATAGAAGTAATTGCATTTTTCTGATGCACGTTTAAATAATCAAATTTAAACTTATCGCTCAGCACTTTAAACACTCGTTCCAATTCCGCCATGTTGTTCCCGCGGAATACAACAAGTCCAAGGTCATGTTTCCAAAATTTAGAAGCATTGCTGTGATTGGTTGTTTTAAGGGAATGGAATGTTGTGCTCGAGTGAGCAGCCGCTCGTCGGGGGGAGAGCGGCTGCGAAGGAAACTAGACGACAAGTTCACCTGCTCTAAACCAATCAGAACGCCGCTTTTAACACAGGTATGGGATAAGCATATTAGACAAATGGGAAGACGACTTAACGAGTGATGTGTATGGGATCGAAGAAAGAGTCGAAGAATATATTCGAGGTATTTCGATATCAAATGGCCAAGCATCTGGAGAAAACAAGGCAACTTCCCCGCAGAGCGTGTCAGTAAGTCAACTTGCGCAAGAGCCTCAAACGTCATCGCAAGTGTCAACACCAGAAGCTAATACCTCTACATTACAGCAAGAAGAAATTCAAGAAATTCCGTCGCCTACAAGCAATATATCCATGACAAACCCCACCTCACCGATGATATGAGAATGATCCAGCTGAAAATGCACGTCAGTGGTGATGCGGAAAGAGCGATTTCGGGATTAGTTCGAAAGGAATAATGTATGCGACTGCCTTGAAGATGATCAAAGAACAATTTGGACAACCAAGCGTAATTGCCCGTGCGTTAGTGAACAACGTCACCAAAGGAGAGAAAATCGGTAGAAGTGACAGGAAGAAATTGCGAGAGTTCTCGATCGACCTTATCAATTGCATGGCCATGATGAAACGCATTGGGGACCGGTCATTATTTATGACAGGGGTGGGGGCCGAAGAGAAAGTATAATGAAGCCGGAAAAAATCATTACCCCACCTTTTTCGAAACAAAATTTCTAGCTACCCCACCGGTGGAATGCCAGAAAATTTTTTTACCCCACCCAAACCTATTTTGTTGCAATGTCAA